TACGTGAGTCGGTACATCCCTTGGTCGTGAGGTAGTTGACGAAATCCGATGCGAGTAAGGCGGGTGTGTAGGTGTTGTTGCCACAGCCGCGGTGCTTGTTTGATTCCGTAGAGAGATTTCAGTAGCTGACAGACCTGATTGGGGTTTCCGTGGGTACCGTGTGGGAGTTCGACGAAGATTTCGGCGTCGACGGGTGCGTAGAGGAATGCATTGGCGACATCAATTTGTCGCAGCTTCTTCTTCTTCATGGCGGCGACGGCGAGAAGGATTCGGAGAGAGGTATGTCGACTGACTGGGGCGAATGTCTCGGTGAAGTCTCGTCCTTGCTCCTGATCGAATCCACGCACGACCTAGCGTGCTTTGAATTTCTCGATCGTGCCGTCTGCTTTCGTTTTGATGCGGAAGACCCATTTCCCGGTGAGAATAGTCTTGTTCCTTGCCACGCTTGCGGGAACGACCTTCCAGGTGTTGCGTTCCTCCAATGCCTTTAGTTCTCTGTCCATGGCTTCACGCCATTTCTCCCTGTGTTTCCCCCCCATAGCCTGCTGAACCGTCGCAGGCTCCTTAGGAAGCGCGTTGTCGTGCACTGCGGTGACGAGGCCGAGGATTTGCAGCCCAGTCTGTGAGTATCGGGGGAGTGTTGGATCCTAGGGATAAGCTGCTTCGTCTCCCGCTTCTGGATCGGGTATGAAATTGGGCCCTATGCGTTCTGCTTCATTTGTGTTGAGTGTCGCAGGTGTTACGTAACCATTGTCGGCGAAGTGATAGAAGACTTCGGCGTTGGCACTGTCGCGAGGATTTTCTTCGTCCATGGGCACGTTGACGGAGCAGAACGGGAGAGGTCCGGCTTCTTCCGATGCGTTGTCGACGTTCTGTTCATCCCAGTTTGCTTCGTCCGCTGCTGAGGCGAAGGCTCGGTCACCACGAAAGCCACTTGTGGGGTTTTGATTCTCGTGCAGGTTGGCGAGGTACGTTTGAAGGGTGAGTCGCTCGTAGAAGATCACATCACGTGCTGCTACTGTTTTCTTTGAGTGGACGTCGAAGATTTTCCACGCGTTGTAATTTTTCTCGATGCCGAGGTGTAGTCCCCACTGTGCCCGTTGTGAAAATCTTCCCGCTCGTGCTTCTGGGGGTCGGTACTGTACCATGCACCCGAAAACTCGTAACATTTTTGTGCTGCCCTGCTTCCCTGTCCACAGCAGGTGCGGTGATGCGTTGTTCGGGAGTGACGACGACGACAGCAAGTTGTGCAGCATGACAGCATGGTCCATTGCTGCAGGCCACTGGTGGTTGGGTAGCCGCATGCCACGTAGCAGTTTGCGCATGCTGTTCTGCAGAGTCCTGTTCATTCTTTCTTCAACACCTTGCTGCTGATGTGCGTAGGGAAGGGAGAGGAGTTGCTTGATTCCCCTTTCCGCCAGGTACTGCTTGAAGCACTGAGAGGTGTACTCTCCTCCTCCGTCTGACTGGAAGCTTTTCAGTTGTGTTCCTGATTCCCTCTCTGCTACCGGTAGCCAAGCGGCGAACGCTGCGAGAGCCATGTCGCGGCTGGGTAGGTTTCGATGCCAGACGTATCGAGTGGCGGCGTCGATGAAGGTTATCGTGTAACTGTAGGTGACTTGTCCTGGTTCTTGATTGAAGAGGATGTCGCTGTATACTTTCTCGAGTGGTGCGTATGTAGGTGCGCTTGGGTTGTGGTGAGAAGAAAACGGTCGATGGGGTAAGTCGGCTTCGAGGCAGATAAGGCAAGTTCCTCGTGCACGTTGGAGTTCTCTGCCGTCGGGTAGTAGTAGCGAGTCCTTGTCTAGAACTCCTGCTCGAATTGTGTTATTTAACACTGTGTTGCTTGGATGTCCTGTGCGTGCGTGCCAGATGTCTTCAGGAGCGCGGTGTCCGGGTGAGCGTTGATACGCGTCGGAGTTGGAGTAGAAGCTGGCGACGAAGTGTGCGCTTCTGTGGACTTCTCGTTGAGTCGGGTTCAGCTGCTGTGCGGGTGTTGGTGGTGCTTCGTCGACGGGGATTGGTGTCGTTTGTCCTGCTGCTGCCGATGATGTTGCTGCTGCTGATGTTGTTTCTGCTGCTGCCGATGTTGTCTCTGCTGGTGCCGATGTTATTGCTGCTGATGATGTTGTTTCTGCTGTTGCCGATTGTTGAATCGTTGCTAATGCGCGTGTTCGTTCTGCTTCAGGTATGGTGTGCGAGTACCAGAAGCCTCCCGGGCTGAAGTCGGGATCGAGATCCGGGGGATGTGTCCAATCGGCGAAGTTGACGATGGCGTCGCTATCTGCAGTGCCCAGGTCGGGGACGAAATCGAGGACGAAGACGTTGTTCTTCAACATCGCCCTTCCGATGTAGAGGCCGCCCTTCCCGTGGTACAACTTGAACTCCTGTGTAGTGCTGTCGGCTTCCAAGTGAATACCTTTCGCCATCAACTGGCTGACACTCAGTAAGTTATAGCCGAGTCCCTCCGCGATGAGTACCTTTGACATGTGTAATATGACATTTGTCTCTCATGACTGAAGCTGTACCACTCCTTGTCGTCGTGTGCGCAGGTTCTGATTGTTGGCGACCGTGATGACTACTTCTCGCTGGAGTCGATGCTCGCGTTGAACGAAGCGCCCGGAGGAGCACATATGTTGTCCGCAGCAACTGTCCAAGAACCAGGTGTCTTGGCCGGACGGTTCGCTTTGAGAAATGGCGGCGTATGTCGGATTCGGTTGGAGTGACTCGCGGCGAGGCGTCCTGTTATCGAGCTCTTCTTCCGGTGAGTAGTGGGGTGGTGATTCTGTTGTGCAGGAATCGGTTATCTTTACCATGCAATTGACAATATTTCTTGCTCCTTGTGCAGGTTGTCCAGTTGAAGTCGTTGAAGCTTGGATTGTGGTCGTCGGATTTGCTTGCGTTGAAGCAACTTGGGAGCTTGAAGGCCGGAGTTGTCGCTGTGGTGTCGTCGACTGCTGACGGGACGGGCAGTGTGTGAGAGGATGACCCGAGGTCTTGCAGATGTGACAAAACGGAGGTACCGTCTTCACTTGTTGCTGTTGTCGATTGTTGTTGCCGTTGTATCGTCGCTGAGTGTGAAACGCAAACTCTGGTGCTAATGTTTTCTTCTTGCAGGTCCATGTCATGCTGCTCGGCGTGGATTTCGGCGCAGAGTGCCGCTTCGGAGATCCTCCCGTGTGCTCGTAATATGGCGCGAGTGGAGCGCCAGTGGGGGCCGAGACCGCCGATGACCGCCGTGACAAAGGCGTCTTCTGAAATTGACCCTCCGCATCGAAGAAGCTTGTCGCGCAGTTCGCGGCAGCGGCTGATATAAGCCATGCCTTTCTCACCTGGTTTCATTTCAATCGTTGTCAGCTGCGCCATTAGCCTGCTTTGATTTACGCTGTCTGTTGCTTGATACAGGTTCTTCAGATGGTTGTACGCGAGCTCCGCGGAGTTGCCGTAGCCTCGGTAGGTTCTGATGTTCTGCTGCTGGGTCGGGGTGATGTTTCTTAGCACTATCGTGTACGCCATCATTGATTGATAGGTGTACTGCTGCTTCTCATATTGTGTCCCGTTTGTTGGATATGGCAGGGACCCGTCGAAGAAGCCGAGAATCTGTGCTCCTTCCATCATCAATTCGAACTCGAACGACCAGGTGAAGAAGTCTTTGCCGTCGAAAGGCTTTGTCGTTTGCAGCTTTAGGACGTGCGCGAATTGCGACTGAACTTGTAATGCGTCCAATGCCCTTTCTTGTCCTGGTGCAGATTGCGGTTGCGGCATGAAGCTGACGGAGCCACGCTGAGGTTCGTACGGCGCAAAGGTAGGCTGCTGTTGTTGGTGTTGAATCCCGCGTGCGTAGGATGAGCCGTCGAGACTCATAGGAGTCACGTTGTTGTTGTTGCTGTTGTTTGACTGCGCAGGTACTCCTTGCTGGTGCTGCTCGTAGAAGGACATGAAGGAGAAAAATTTCTCCATCATGCTTGGATCGAAGCCTGCGGGTGTTTCCGTGGACCCAGCTGCTGGTCTCGTGGTAGTCCCTTCCTCTGTCTGTAGGCCAGAGACAGGAGGTGGAGTAGGAGTAGTGCCTGGAGAACCGTTGGAGGAGCTTCTCTCCTTCCTAGTAGACATGTCTTCTTGTATTTTGTAAAAGGAGGAATAACTTTTAAGCTCTAACTGCTCTCATACCATGTTGGGCTGAGGTGCCCTAGGATCTTTGTAGAGTTAAAGTTTGAGTAGGATGATGTAATAGCGGAAGCGTTAAATAAGAAAGCTTTGAACCACCTTGCGCTGGTATGTGAGGGCAAAGTAAGTTGATTAAAGCAGGCAAATACAAGGCTTTATATAAGAGTACAAGGAAAACGAATAGATGTAATTAAACTACCTTGCTGTTGCGATTCGATACAGTGCGACTCGGGCAACTGCTCAATGTCGAGTCAGTTGTGTGTCCTTGCTGTCGCGCTGTATTGGTCAAGTCAAAGGTCGCTGACCTTTGACCTTCCCGTAACCTTCAGGCGGTTACCCTAACCTCCGAGGGTTGACTTGCGATGCTTCGATTTGGACTTCTTCGCTTTGTGTCCTGAGTTTCGACACAACAGAGGCGTTTAAGACTTATTGTTCCCAACAAAAATCACAGCATTGCAGATATGTTTTTAGCATAGTGTGAAACATACAAAGTTTACGACAGGAGTAGCATCACTCAGCGTAAAGGCTTAAGAGGGGGGGGGAACAAAGTACATGTGAACATAACATATACATCCTCATGTTCAATTAGATTTTCTTTGAAAGATCTTCTACCATCTTATTATTTACAACAAGCTGGTTCGTCTGCATCTGTATAACCCCCTTCAATGTTTCCACCTTCTCTTTGAGTATTTTAACGTTCTGCAATAAGAGAAACTAGACAATTAGACCAACAAGACAAAACTTTCTAAAGCGACAAGAAAGTAAATAACAGTTGAAACGTACATGTTCTTGAGCAGCAATACTGAGCACACCAGAGCCTTGCAACATTCTGATTAGAGATTCGAATGCTCCTTGTCGGAGCTGAGAAGAGAAAAGAGAAATGCGCGTGCAAAGAGTGCGCATGCAAGAACAGAAATGAGCAAATAGCATGTTGAGAAAGTAAGCTCAAGGGGAGCTGAGGGTATAGGGAGTAAGGTGCTGGGGGGGGAGAACATACAGGTTGCTGAGGGTCCACAAAAGGTGATAGAGGGGGGGAGGGGAGAGCAAAGGGGGTGCTGAGGGTCCAGGAAGGAAGTTCATGGGGTGGGGTGTGAAAAGGGGCTCCTGAGGGTACAGGAAGGAAGATGATGGGGGGGAGAGCAAAGGGGGTGTTGAGGGTCCAGGGAGGAAGATGATGGGGGGGGGGGGGAGCAAAGGGGTGTTAAGGGTCCAGCAAGGAAGATGAGGGGAGGGTAACAAAAGTAGAGCTGGGGGGAAGCGAAAGGGTTGCTGTGGGGACTGTAAGGAGGGTGTTGTGGGGCAGCAAGGATAGAGTTTCCTGAGCAGTGAGGTTCCGACAATTGAGAGGAGCGAAGTAACTCACAGGATCCTTGATTTGGAGACGGATCTCTTCACCCATGTGCGTTGCCTTTATTGCAAAGGTCTGCTGGCCCACATGAAGCATAGAGATTGTTGCAATCTCTATGTCGATGATGGGCTCCCGGATGGAGTTCGTGGGCTCTTCTGGATCCTCGCGAAGAAAATACACCAGACAATAGGAAGGTTATCAATATGAAGAGCGATTACAAAATACAATTCTGATGCATGTGTTAAAGCACTCACTGCGGTCTTGTTCACAGCCAGCAAGAGAGTCTTATCCGCTGGAAGTAAGTTGAAGGACTGTGCGACAAGATTCACTTTTAGCACAGTGACGAGGCTCCGCTTTAACTGCCTCAATTCGTCCAAAAAAAATAGTCTGCAGTTTTAAATGAGCTTGCATCCTGCATTTTAGTGCATACAATAGTAAATCAGGCTAAAAAAGGAAGAAGGGGGACAAAGAAGGGAAAAGACGAATAAATCCATGCTACTTACGACGCTTTCATAAGCTTCCCTCGGGTTTTCGTCCCACTTCCGGGTGTTTTGATCAAGTGCCGGCACAAAGTTGATCACTTCCCGCTTAAGATCCTCATCACTTGGCCTTGTCCCACCAAAGTGAGCAACGAGCTGCCATCCAGCCAATCGGCGAATCAAACGCTCCGAGATTTTCTCGCTTGTGGTGAGGTATTGTTGTTGAGCCTGCAAAAGGGAATAACAAGGCAAAAAGAGGGTAGACTTAACACGATTGCATGATGCGTTGGTGAATTAACAACCAAAAATTCATGGAGCAAAACATAATTATACCTGGATATACGAGTGATCGGCGAGGATGTCGTCGTAGATGATTTCATCCTTCGGAAACTCCTTTTTTCTGAACATTAGGAGCACAGGAGTTTCGGGCGTCTTTTCAGCTCGTGACTCGTGACTCCGCACAATATCCGCCACGAACCGCGAATTGCTAATCCATAAGTAGTGCTGCGCAGCCACACTTCCCTCCACTTTGCAAAACCCAGATGTCGCATAGTTGTCTTGTTGCAGACGTCTCGCCATAGGCTGTTTGGTGTGAAAAGGAAAAAAACAAAGGAGTAGGAACTCTGGATAGGACGTTAGCTGAATACGAGAAACATAATAATAGAAAAAGAGCAACTAGTAGAGAATATTAACCAGTTGTATGACAAAATGCGAAGTCATGGTTGCTATACATTTGCTCGAATAAAGTTGTGACAATTTTAACTTACACCTCGTAGTTCGTCGACCATCGTAAAGTAGGAATACGGTTGGACGAAACTTCTGCCGTCGAGCAGGTGCACCTCCACGTGCTCCTTCTGTAAGATTGTATTGGAAATCTCCTCTGTTGAAGGAAAATATTCTCGAGCGCCGCACAAATCTACCTTCCACAACACGTCCCACGCAAAGCTCAGAGCTTTTGCCTTCCTGGGAATTCGCAGCGCTGATAAGGTACCTGACCACACAACCAAACAAGGCAAAAGGATCATTCAACGTGAGAGAGAGGCCCACCATGCACATCCAAATAAAGACAGAGCCTCCCCCAACAGGAGCAGGCATGATTACCAATACCGTATTAATATGCGTGCCAGGGAAACAGATCCTTCCCAATCGAAATGACAGGTGCGTGCGCAGACCCAACCCGACATCCGCTTTGCTACAATGATCCAATCCAATGGCAGTGAACAGCAAGATGTCCCCTGGACAATAAAAGAGTCTTCTGCCTGATCACAAACAGTCATGAATGTGTTCTGCAGGCGCGCAGGAGCGAACGACAGGGGGGAGGGGAGGCGGAGGGAGGTCGGAGGTGATGGGACAGAGAGAAGGGGGATAGGGACAGGGAGGGATGGGGCTCAAGAAGCAAGGGGACAGAGAGGGTGCAGCAACGCAGCGCGGGATTCAAAGGCCTCAATCTGAGGATGCAATGATACAATACACCTGATACCGTAGATTTGGAATACACGTGCTTTTATTGATGTAACGCCCAATGGCAACCCTGATTCCATAGTCCCTTATAACGCACAAAAAAAATACTAGCATCGTCTAGAAACCACTGCAAGCCCTCCATTAACCCTTACGCCCTCCGATCCCACCACTCCGTCCTCCTCCTCCTGCTGCTCTGCCCCTCCTCCAAATCCTTAACCACCTTCGTCCTCCTCTTCCTGCTGCTCTGCTCCTCCTCCAAATACGTCACCACATTCGTCCTCCTCCTGTTGCTCTGCTCCTCCTCCTCATCCTCCACCTCCTGCTGCTGCTCCTCCGACAAATCCACCACATCATGCTCTTCCTCCTCCTCATGGTCCTCCTCCTCCCTCTCCTCCACCACTTCATTCATTGCAGCCGACTCATAAGCAGCGGCTGCCTCTTCCTCCGATGAAAAGTAGCCAAGGTGCACGAATTTTCTGTTTATACGAGTTGATGCCCGCCACACCTGCCCAGCGTTGTACCATGAGACGCCTTTGTACCGAGACGATCCGCGGTGGCGAGCCAACAGGAGGTTGCGTATGGAAGTCACGAAATCCTCCTCCGACTCGGCGTCGAGCTCCCTCTTTTCTTCCTCCGAGAGTCCAATGTTCAACTGAGCTTTGGATCCTTGGAACTTATATGCCGCCCTGCAAGCAAGGGAGAACACGGGGAAGGTGCTGCCATGAGAGCAAGGGGAAGGTGCTGCCATGAGAGCAAAGGGGAAGGTGCTGCCATGAGAGCAAGGGGAAGGTGCTGCCATGAGAGCAAGGGGAAGGTGCTGTGCTGCCATGAGAGCAAGGGGAAGGTGCTGCCATGAGAGCAAAGGGGAAGGTGCAGCCATGAGAGCAAGGGGAAGGTACTGCCATGAGAGCAAGGGGAAGGTGCTGCCATGAGAGCAAGGGGAAGGTGCTGCCATGAGAGCAAGGGGAAGGTGCTGCCATGAGAGCAAGGGGAAGGTGCTGCCATGAGAGCAAGGGGAAGGTGCTGCCATGAGAGCAAGGGGAAGGTGCTGCCATGAGAGCAGCACTGCACCCTTGCCATTCCATGTCATGGAGTATCGTGACAACACGAACTGCAGCAGACGCAGTGGAGGCATGGAGAAACAGAGCGGGTACTGGGTGGGAACACGGAGGAAAGAGGGGTGCGTGGGCACTTAAAGAGCACCTAATGGCATCACCATAATGGGAGATCCGACTGTTTAGGTCTGACATCAGCAGCACATGCAGCTGTCCATAAGCCGTGAAGCACGCCAGAAGCTTCCCGGAAGCTGACAATACTATGCGCTGACAATCTTACCTGTCATAAATCTTGGCTGCTTCTTCTTCAGTGCTCCAGCTCCCAAGATTAAGTTTTTTGCATTTATAAAAAATTCGGGGCGTCCATCCATGCTTCATCCAGTGTCACTCCGCGAGCAACCATCCTGGCAATCCGAGGGCTGGAACAGATGCGAAGAGAGGGAAAGCAGAAAAAAAGTTAGGGATTCGGCGAAGTGACGGATAACAAAAAAATTCCCCACGCGCAATACCTTTGGTCGAAACAAGTAGTTATGGCAGGTAAGGGTTTGAGAAACCATGAGCAGCGGAAGGGATTGTTTGCTTGTTCCGCCTTCCTGACCACTCCCCAGGCATCCCCTTCTCCCTCCTTACCTAAAAATTGCTTCGGTCGGCATGCTATCCCATTTGACTAGTATGCTTCTTTCCTGAATGTTGCCGCTCTTAGGCTCTGCTAGTTTCCATGGCAGCTTCTTATGTTCATGGCGTCCTTGGCACCATGGCTCATCAAGTACCTCAGCTTTAACTGTCACTAATACGTACAGCAGAATGGTCAGCACGTGTAGCGTCGGTGGCTGTGGCGACGGCGTTACATAGATCGTCGACAGAGCTACACGTTAGTTATGCTTGTCGCTGACGAGGTGTGTACGACGGCGACGATCGTTTAGGAGAGTGATCCGACGGTGTGTTTGATAAACAAACTATTCTTGACGGCCAAGCGACACGGCAAAAACGATCAGTATTTCACACTCTGAGGCGGAGCTAACCTGATGGCGAAGCAGTAAGACCTCCACGACCACTGTTGTATGGGAGAAGCGACGGTAGCACTTTAAAGAATAGAAGCTCATACTCCGGTGTGAGTGACGTGAGCGGAGTAGAATCTTGACAGTGACATTGGGAGATAGCTTGCCACTACAGGTGGGCCCGTGAATGATCATGACGTCCAGGTCCTCTAGTGCGTGGCGGACGAATTTCTACCCCTCGGGATTATCTATTGCGTGGCGACTCCGAGCAAACAAACTCCGAAGGCTTGAGTGGCGTGGTGCCCCTGTTGCATACCCTTCGTGCTCCTCGAACATTTTATTCTGGCAAGATCTGGGTACCAGGACCCAGCCAGATCGGGTTGCAATGTGGTGTGGAGTGGTCCTGTGCTCTTGTGATACTCGAACGTCCGAGAAATTCATGCGAAATGTTATTTGTTACCAGTGAACCCTCGCTCGCTGGATTTTGCACTTGGTTCAATGTTCAGTCTCAATGTATACCTGACGGTTATACATTTCACAGGAGCTTACAGTTCCTGTGTCGTGGTTCAAAACGGTCCAAAACGGTTAAAAACGGTTCTCGACGTTTACCGCTCTGCACCGTGCTGGAACAAAGTCTACCGGAGTGGGCGTACAAAAAGTTGTACAACCTGACGTCGCCCTAAGGGCGACGTGATAGCCAATTACTAAACCATAAACATAGTTACGTGATAGTCTCTTCCGCTGACGGAGACGTCGGAGCCTCCAGGATCGACGGCGAAACGCCGTTGAATTGCCGGCAGCTAACGGCTTGGTCCTCGCGGCGCGCAATCGGTAAGGTTCGCTGACCGTCCAAAAGGCAGATATGACGGCGATGAAGACCTGCATAAGTATCGTTCGTTTCGCAAGAATCCGCTAAACCACATATTCGATTCTCTTCGTTTCCCCTTTCTCTACCGTAATTCATATTGCCGTCGCGCTTCACCGTGCTCATTCGCTCCTCCCGTCCATCTCGTCTCGTCTCGTCTCTCCCTTACATCCGTGCCAGGCTTCAAGGCCTGCCTCTTTAGGTCCGTCATTCTCCAGCCAGCACACCCGCCGCGGCGCAGCATCAAGCCATTCCTCCATCACCCGTCCCCCACGGCTCTTCCTCTCCACCGCATCCGCACACCACACCGCGTCGCCCGTCGCCAGCGCACCCGCAATTTCAATGGGTAACACGGCGGAGCAGCAGGCGGCGTTCGCGGCCTTCGACTTCGCGGGAAGCGCGGCGTGGCGCGACTATTTCAACAACCTCACCATTCCGCCGGATAGAGCCAACGATCCCGCCGTACTCCGCCGGTACAGACAAAAGTTCTTCCGCCAGTGCGTAGACTCCGACTTCCAAGTCGACCCTCTGCAGCCCGCCGCTTCCCCCGCCTCCGCCACGCCCCCCGCCTCGTCCGCCTATGCCGCGCCCTCCTCCGCCTCCACTGCGCCCCGACCCTCAGCCTCGGGCCGAGCCTCGGCAGCTGGCACGGGAGGCAGCGGCGCTCCTGGCAGCAGCGGCAGAACCGGAGGTACTACCAGCAGTAGCACTGGCGGTTCCACAGGTGGTAACACGCGCATGGGCCTGCAGACATACACGTTCGTGGCGCACGCGTGGGTGGTAACGATGGCGCTGGTCGCGCTCTTCCCCCTGTGCCCGCGCGCGCTGCTCGTGTGTGCCTTCCGCTTCGCCCTGTTCGGCGGGCTCGTCGCGTCCGCCCTCTCCATCCTGCAGCGCCACGGCCGCCCCGCCGCGCTCTCCCTCCCCGCACTCAAATCCTGGCTGCAAACCCTCCTAACCGGACCCCACCTCCTCACGCTCATGCACTGCTCCGTCTTCCTCCCGTCCCCGCACCCCATCGCGCTCGCGCTCCTGCCCCTCGCCGCGCGCTCCCTCCTCCCGCTCACCACGCATCTCCAGCAGAACTTCAGCCAGGCAAGCCTCTACCGATCATACCTTTCAAAACCCTGCGAGTGGGTAGCAGCAAATCGACAACAGGTAGAGCTATTCACAGCAAACACAGAGGTCATGCTAGGGCCTCTCCTAGCGTTCTACCTGCTGACTCCCCAGCGCAGCTTCTTCCAGGTGTTTCTGTACTGGCAGCTGCTCAAGATGCGGTTTCACGCGCCGGCATCGGCGTGGTATCACCGGCAGATCTGGGGGCATTTGGAGACGACGGTGCTGCCGCATGTGCAGCGGTACGTGCCAATGCTGATGACGCCCATTGGGTATGTGCAGCGATGGTTCCAGAGTATGGGCCGGGCTTGATGCGGTGGGAGAAGGGGGAGGGGGGAAGAGGTGAGGAGGGGAGGAGGAGGGGAGGAGGAAAGGGAGAAGGGAGAAGGCGACTATGCTGCCACACTTGCACGGGTATGTGCCGGTGCTGCTGACGCCCATTGGGTATGAGCAGAGGTGGTTCCGATCCATGGGGCGGGCTCGATGCTGTGGTGCAGCACACTGAGGAGGAGGTGTAAACGGAGCAGTGGAGGGGGCAAGGAGGAGGAGGTAGTGGTACGTGCCGGTGCTGCTCTCACTTGTATGTGAAGTGCAGGGGTGGCTCCGGTCCATGGGCAGGGCTTGATGCGATAGGTACAGAAAGCAGGTGAGAAGGTGCGAGGGGAGGAGTGAAGGAGGAGAGAAGGAGTTGAGGAGGAGGGGAGGGTGGAGGCGACTGTGCCGTCTCACGTGCAGCGGTAGGGTACGAGCCGGTGCTGCTCATTTGAGTTTCTAAGTCTGGTTTCACTCCGTAGGTCGTACTCGTTGCGTTTGCTGCAGCACACGGGGGAAGGGGTGCTGAGGACACAGAGGAGGGGACGTTTAGGAAGTGGGAAAGGAGAAGTAGCATGGGTTCTGTCTCATGCATATTGGCCGTTTGATCAACTGGTTTGACCTTGGCCCTTTTGAGGCGATTCGAAAGTCACTTGGGAGGGGGACAGGTTGGAAGAGAGTTGGGAGGGAGGGGGACATTCTTGCGGACCAGTGGGGAGGGGACCATGCAGCTGCCCATGGGCGAGGCGGTGATGCACCAAGTGGGGCTTGCCTGGCCGGCTGGAAGTGCTGTATGGGTGGGTACTGTTTTGCCTTGCCTAGATGTTGGAATGGCGTTTCGAGTGACACTTGATGAGGGATTGCTAATGCAGCATGAGAGGTTGCTAAAGCACTTGGCTTTCTCTCTTTGTTATGATGAGGGATTTATTACCTTACCTACCTCACTACCCTGCAGAACTGCACCTGACATGGATTAGTATCTCCTTACACGATGTCCTTCATGAAACATGGTACAGTATAGCATTTTACGAATACACTGCAATAGCCAGCAATGCAGCACAACATAACCTACTTGCATTGCATTGCAAACAAACACAGACAGAGTGAGCCTGACAAAATTGCGTGGACACAAGCTCTACCAGCACAGAGCAAACCCTAGACGCCAGATTGAAATCACGCAGCAGCATTGGAGTCAGTTGCTGCTGCTGCCTCTGCGTCGCCATCAGCCGCTTCTGCGGGCGGTGGGGCCTGGTCCTCCTGCACAGTGCACCAGTGCCACGAGTGCATTCAGAGAAGAGGGAGGCAGCATGAGGCTCACACATGAGACACACTATGGCAAGAGGCAGGGTGGATATAAAGTAAAGAGTCACTTGGGGAGACCTTACCTCGGGAATAGGGGGAGGGGAGAGAGGAGGGGGGCTTACCTCGGCAAGGGGCTCCTCCACATAGTCATTGTCAAACGCGTCTGATGGCACCTCGTACAGCCTGCATGGGGGGGGGAGAGGGGGGTTGGGGGGAGAGAGTGCATGTGTGGGGGTCGGAGAAAGAGAGATTGTGAGGGAGAAGGAGTGGTGTGGGGCATGAAGGCACCAGGTGGACATGTTGTGGCAGCCTGAAAAACTAGACTGAGGAAGGGCTTGCCTACCTGGGGGAGGGCTCACCTGAGGAAGGGCTTCTTGGGGTCCTTGACGATAAGGTGCCTAGCACCTGGAAGAAAGGAAGGGCTTACCCACGTGGGGGAGGGTTTACCTGAGAAAAGGTTTACCTGAGGAAGGGCTTGTTGGGGTCCTTGACGATGAGGTATTTGCCGTCCTCGAGCTTCATACACATGTCCACTATGTGCTGTTGGTGGGGATGGGGGTGGGGATGGGGGTGGGGAGGGGGGGGAATGGGAAGTGCGGGCGACACACGAGGAACAGGGAGGGAGGGATGTGTGAGACAAGGCAGACGATGAGGTACTTGCCGTCCTCGAGCGTCATACACATGTCCACTATGTGCTGTTGGTGATGGGGGGGAGAGGAAGAACAGGGAAGTGTGATTGAGAGACGGAGAAACAGGAAGGGATGGGTGAGACAAGGCAGAGAAGACTTTTGAGTCGACTCAAGAGACGGAGAAACAGGAAGGGATGGGTGAGACAAGGCAGAGAAGACTTTTGAGTCGACTCAAGAGACGGAGAAACAGGAAGGGATGGGTGAGACAAGGCAGAGAAGACTTTTGAGTCGACTCAAGAGACGGAGAAACAGGAAGGGATGGGTGAGACAAGGCAGAGAAGACTTTTGAGTCGACTCAAGAGACGGAGAAACAGGAAGGGATGGGTGAGACAAGGCAGAGAAGACTTTTGAGTCGACTCAAGAGACGGAGAAACAGGAAGGGATGGGTGAGACAAGGCAGAGAAGAGGCATGCTCCACACACATGTGGCACGTGGTGGTGGTGAGGATGGGCGGATGGGATGAGGGCTTTAAGGAACGGAGGCGGGACATGAAAAAAGGTGAGGCACCAACAATGCATACCCTGACAAAGCGTGACCATGCCATTGACACCCTTCACGATGCCCCACGTGCCCCACGTGCCCCACATCCCCCCCATGCCCCACATCCCCCCCATGCCCCCCATGTGCCGCATGCACACAACGCACCTTGACGATGCCCCACATGTTGGTGGACGAGAGCGTGATCTGCATCGCCAGCTCCCTTGCCTTGTAGATGATGGTGTCTGTACCCCATGCCCCCCATGCTCCCCATGCCCCACATGCCCTGTATGCCCCCCATGCCCCCCATGCCCCCCATGCCCCACATGCCCTGTATGCCCCCCATGCCGTGCACACACAGCACGCACTTTGACGATGCCCCACATGTTGGTGGACGAGAGCGTGATCTGCATCGCCAGCTCACGCGGCTTGTACGCCTGAGAGGACGAGGGGCGGGAGGGAGGCGAGGGGAGAGAGGATAGGGAGGGGAGAGAAAGGAAGAAGCGTGAGACGTGGTGCGTGGAGCAGTAGAGAAGGGTGAAAAGAGACTGCATGTGATGTGAGGGAGCCAAGAGGAGAGTGCATGCATGGTCCGAGTAGAGGGAACGGTGACAGTGTCGGAACAATGGATTGACCAGCGTTGACCCACGTTGACGGGCACTGACCTGCACTGCGAGGATGGTGTGCTTGAGGTTGTTCTTGGGGAACACTCGCGACACGTACCCTAGCTTCATCTGCACTCCCCAGCGGAGAGAAAGGGGAAATGGGGGGGGCGGAGAGAAAGGAGAAATGGGGGGGAAGGCGGGGGAAGGGGAGGTGTGGAGGGGGGGGGAGAATGCGGGATGTAGAGCAGTTAGCTTGCTTGGGTTACACTGGCAACATGTACCCACAGCTTCATCGGCAAATGCGGCAGGCGAGGAGCGTGGGCAGAGGTGAGGAGCGTGGGCAGAGGTGAGGAGTGTGGGCAGAGGCGAGGAGCGTGGGCAGAGGTGAGGAGCGTGGGCAGAGGTGAGGAGCGTGGGCAGAGGTGAGGAGCGTGGGCAGAGGTGAGGAGCGTGGGCAGAGGTGAGGAGCGTGGGCAGAGGCGAGGAGCGTGGGCAGAGGCAGCAGCACCGAAGCAGTCAATGCGAGGAGAGAGAGACAAAGGAACCAGAGTCTCCATAACCCATTCCCGCTTCCCCACACGCCACCCTTCCCTCGATCGAACTCTCCCCCGCTCAACGCCCACTGCACTCCCCCCACCCTGCCAAGCGCACCAGATCGGCCCCTGCGAGCAGCGCTTGCACCGTCCACTTGGCGAGCTTGTTGCTGTTGTTCTTCAGCTCCGTTGCCAGGACCTGAGGCAGAGGAGAGGGGGCGAGGGGCAGCACGGCAGCACCGCACACGCATGGGCGCATCAAGCAGTGCGTGAGTGGGGCGCCCAGAGACAGCCCTTTGGGGCATGCGACTGCTCTTGAGGCCAGCCAGATACGCCGCGCAACGCAACACAGCCACTGTGATGTGAATGTGGAGCGCATTTGCAACACCTCACCGCGCCGCGCTGGTTGTCGATCTTGGCTCGCCAGTCCACGCCCGTGACCTTGGGATCAAACTCGTTGAGCGCATTCACCGTCGCCAGCATCTCCTGCCCCCGCATGTCCACCACTGCGTCTAACTCGCACCGCACCACCAGAGGCATGTCCTGCAGGGGAGCGGAGGGGAGCAGGCAGGGGGGTGTGAGAGGCAAGTAATATGCATATGTGTGTGCGCGTGTGGTGCAAGTAAAAGCATCTCTTGCCCCCTCATGTCCACCACCGCGTCTAGCTCACAGCACACCACCAATGGCATGTCCTGCAGGGGCGAGAGAGGGGTCACAGCACATAGCACAGCAGAAACGAATCAGCTGCATGCTTTAAGGCTCAGACCCAACACTCCAGTGCCTAGCCGCTCCCCCTATCTTCACTCTCCCCTCCTAACCCCCACTCCTCTCAGCATGCACTCACCCCATCCAGCATCCACTTGCGGTAGCGGTACGCCACTAATGCCACCTCCTCGCCCTCCATTTCCACCACCTCAACCCCCCGCGCCCCAGCATGTGGCCACTCACCCCTTCCAACACCCAGTCACCCCACTCAACCGCTCATCACTCACCCCGTCCAGCATCCACTTGCGGTAGCGGTACGCCACGGACGCCACCTCCTCGCCCTCCGCTGCAAACGGATTCGCCTCCGCGAACTGGCGCTTGGCTCCCTTCTGCTCCCACATGCACAGACACCACACACGCACATGCACACACACGCAGAAGCACACACAGACACAGACACGCGGGAGATGGGGCAGCAGGGAAGGCGGGCACACAAGTGTGACGATCCGTTTCTCAAACCTAAAATGACAAATCTGGCTCGCATTTAAAGAGGTAACCACCTCCTTGACCAGGCATTCACAACACCCCCCGTCCCCATCGACCTCACCTGGTGCTCACCCCACTGACTCACCTTCTTGACGATCTGCTGCGAGAAGTTCTGGTTGATAAACGTGACCTCCTGGCTGAGCGCACCACGTGCCCGTAACCATGCTTGCTTCACAGCACCCAGTGAACTTATAGTGCACCCACTCACCCCACCTTGTGCCCAGTGCGTGCGTTAACCTTACCTTGTTGACGATCTGCTGCGAGAAGTTCTGGTTGATGAACGTCGCCTCCTGGCTCAGCGACGCGATGCCGTTGATGCTGTCCTCTGCCGCCGGCTCTATGCCCGTTGCTGTCTCGTTCACCTGTAGCAGGCGAGTAACAAGGATGGGAAAGAGCAAGGGAAGGAGGGTCAGGGAAGGGAGGAGGCTTGCTTGGGATGATGCCATCCCACGAGTCGAGCACATGGAGCGCGCAGGGAGGGAGCACTACCAAACACGAGCACCACGCATCCCGCCTCACACCAAACGGCACACTGCGAAACACTCCAGAACTACTCACCGTGAGCAGATCAAACGAGGAGTCCCGCTGGTCGAAGAACAGCTTCCCCCCGCTCTTATGCACGACCACGTCCCACGAGTACACGGAGCGAGGCGCGCACATGAGCGTGGAGAGGATGGCGTCCGTGGCAAAGACCGCGGGCGCGTCTCCGCCCTCCGCCGCCAGCCGCTTCACCACGGGGTCGTCACTCGTCGTCACCTTGTGGAACTGGCGCGTTTCACACCTCTCCAACGGCCGCTCCGACTACAGTGAGTAAAGGGAGAGAGGGAAGGGGGGACGGGGGAGGGGAAGGAGAGGGGAAGGGAAAAGTGGGGAGGGAAGAGGGAAGGGGGGTGTGGGGGTGACGTGGAGTGGTGGGGAGGGGATGGGAGAAAGGAAGCCAGGGGAAGAAGGGAGGATTCGAACAAGGGGCAAGAGCATCAACGGCCATACCTTGGGGTTGACTCGGTCAACGGCCATACCTTGGGGTTGACTCGGTCAAACGTCTTGTCGTAATACTCGAGCGCGCCGCACGTCGTACTGCAACAGAAGAGTAGGGACGTAAGGCGTTGAGGGGGCCGTGTGAGAGAAAGGGACGATAATCCACAGGGAGGAGGAATAGGAGAGGGGAGGGGAGGGGAGGGGAGGGGAGGGGAGAGGAGGGAAGGAAGAGAAAGGGAGAAGAGGGGAAGGAGCAGTTGAGGAAGGAAGGGAAAGTACTGCAATGGTAGGGCGAAAAAACAAGTCAACTACCTCATTCTTCACACTCTCCCTCCCTATCTCTCTTTCTCTCTCCCTCCCTCCTTCCCTGCCCCCTCCCCTTCCCCCTCCCTCCCTCCTTCCCTCCCTCCCTCCCTCCCTCCCTCCCTCCCTCCCTCCCTCCCTCCCTCCCTCCCTCCCTCCCTCCCTCCCTCCTTCTCCCCCTCTCCCCCTCCCCTTCGCCCTCTCTCCAACTCACACGTCCTGCGGCTCGCCCGCGTTGAAGGAGAGCTTCGAAAGAGCGGAGAGCGGGATCTGTTCGAGCACCACCCACTCGGGCCGGATGTCCACGGAGCTGTTGTACGTCGCGCGCTCTCTCTCTGCCCCCCCTCCCCTCACCCTTTTTCAAACTCCTCCACCCCCCCCCCCCCCCCCCTCCTCTCTCAAACTCACACGTCCTGGGGCTCCCCTGCGTTGAAGGAGAGCTTGGAGAGAGCGGAGAGCGGGATCTGTTCGAGCACCACCCACTCGGGCCGGATGTCGACGGAGCTGTTGTACGTCGCGCGCTGCGCGTTGCGGTCGTAGTACGGGTTCCACTGCCCGCGCTTCTGCTGCTGCATGCGCTGCTGCCGCTGCCGCTCCCTGTCCGCGCCCGCGCCGCTGTCGCGCCCGTCGCGCTTCCCCTCCTCCCCGCGCCGGTTCTGGAACCGATTCTGAGGGAGCGGCGGAACGCGGACGGGTGGGAAACATTGGGGCAGCGCAGAGGAACGGAGAATGAAGTGGAAATCGAAGCGGCCAGCGAGGAGAGAAGAATAAGTGAGATAAAAACGGAGGTCACAATCGCGGTGAGTGAGAAGAATTAGATTGGAAATAAAAGGTGGAATTGGACCAAGGAGCGGGAGAAGAAAATGAGGCTTAAGAGGGGGGGTGGTGGGGGGTTGGGAGGTGAGGAAGGGGGGATCATGGGGGGGAAGGGGGGATGATGGGGGAGCGAAAGGGGAGGGGGGGAGGGGAGTGCGGAAAGGGCGGGCGAACCTGGAAGAAGCGGCGGGGCCCGTAGCGAGGCTTCTGCACAGGCTTGGTGTCCACCAGTTGAAACGAGTCCTGCAATGATGACGTGGACGACCGGGGTGACGTGGATGGTGACAATGACGTGGACGATTAGGATTGGTGATGACGGGATGGACGGGTGCGGGAGAGAAACGAAGGAGGAATTGAGCAGTCGATAAGAGGCAGGCGAAACGCGGCGAGCAGCTTGATACCATGCGAGAGCCAATAGCTCGAATAGGCGGGGGATGCAGAGAGGTGAGACGAGCGCTACGCGACAACGGAGGCCACCCACCTCATCCTGGTCCTGGAAGAAGGAGAAGGCGGCATTCACCCCGCCCGCCCCGCCCTGGCGATCACGATCGTAGCGACCTGCGAAATCGGCGAAATAAAGCGACGGATTTGCGAAGGAGTGACAGGAGCGAGAGAGACGGACGAGATGAGAACTCGGTAAACGACCCCTCGATACACGATAACTGAGTGACAGGTGGGACCTCGAGAGGCGATGCCTGCAGCAGAAACAGCGGGATCAAAAGACTCGCTAAACCCTAGCTGAATGGGATCGGCCCCTACCCACTGGCAGCGGCATGACTGCCGCAAACAATCTGAGCGTTACAGCCGGAGGCTCCACTAATTCCACGTAACGCGATCGAAACGGATAAACCTAGCAGAGAGCAAGGGATCGGAAGCGCGAAACCGCGGTGCACGGCACGCGGCACGAGACGTACGGTATCCTTGGGAGGTCCAGTCCGCTGCGCGGCCGACGCGGTCGCCCTTATTGAACGGCGCGTACGGGACGTCTTTAAACTGCTCGGGGAGAGTGGTGGGTCCCCAGCCGTCGGGGTTATCGGAGAGCACTGGCACGGGGAAATGGGCCTCGCGCACGGGCGCCATGGCGTTCAATCAAACCGCGATTTGATCACCAGGAGACTGTATCGCTAGTAATCTGTCCGTTATTCGGTACAGACACGGTGTTACGAGCCGCGTGATCCCAGGAATTAGTGTGGCTGAGGGCAGTGAAACCCTAGAAACAACTGTGCCAGCAAATCGCTGGTCTAGCAGAAAGAGAGGGAGAAGATAGGCGTGTGTGAGAAGAGGAGATCGAAGGGGTGCGCACGGAAATCTCGATGTCCCCGCTAACAGCTGCGATGATTCTCAGACATAAAAGTCAAGAGGATGTTTCATATTTACAATGTTAAAATATTTTGTACCTGCCACTTCTATCTCTTATAAACCAAACAATCCCATCCTACGACGAACTTTTTGGTCGCAAATTCTAGCGAATCAACAGATTGTGTTTCGGCCGAGAAGATATTTGGACGAATTTATGGAAAATAACAGAAATTTCTTCCACGTATCGAGCATGAAACTCGTCAACAGACTCTCCGTCTCGGGCAAACAGGGGCTTCCCAACCACAATCAATAGCTCCCTGCACGTCGAGAAACAGAGAGTCAGAATACGAATCAAAATATACCTCCTTGCATCAGCTAGACAAGCCGTTGCCATACCTGCGGAAGGGCATTGGCATGTGCCATACCCCCCTCATAAACGGGACGCCGATACGCCAATAGCGATTCACCACAGCCCAGAACTGGAGCAGCCAGAGTGGATCGTGCTTGAACAACTGCAGCATCATGACAAATGGAAGCACAAAAAGGAGGTGCAAGGCAAATAAGAAAGGAGAAACAGAAAGGTGAGCAGCATTGAAAGGAACAAACAGCGGAACCACCCTATCCAGCCAGTATGTAATTACGCAGTTGAAGGCATGTTGCTGCTTGTAACAGATTGCACACGCATGAGCATGGGGCGAGGAGTAGCACTGACCCCCACCTTTAATTTTGAGTCGACTCAAAAGTCAACTCTTTTAACTGGATGCCCACGCATGAGCATGGGCTGGGAGTTGCACTGACCTGGGTCTCATTGAAGCAGTACATTGGAACCACCCCCACCTTCTCCTCCACTGCTATGCGTGCAAACCCACGCCTGATGTACACACGCCATGCCATACCATGCCATGCCATGCCATGCAATCAATGCACAAGTCACAACATGGGTAAGGTACAAATTCAGGCAATGGCCATCACCATGGGTTCAGCGCCGTTAACATTGCGCACTGCGCACTACAGTGACGAAGCCAACGCAAGCGAATGCAAGTCAACAAGTCAAGGAGATTCAAAGCGATGCACTCACCTCCGCATGAGGTAGAGCACGTCTGTGTGAGGGTTGGTGCCCAGACACACCTCCCTGATGCCGCCCACCACTATGCCCACCTGCCACCCGTGCATGCAGGGCCATGGGCGGGAGGAGGATGAGGTGCGTGAGAGGGAGGATAGAGGGTGGTGTGATCAAGGGTGGTGTGATCAAGGGTGGTGTGATCAAGGGTGGTGTGCATTGGTTGGAGGGAGGAAAGAAAAGGATTGGTAGGTTACCACAGCAGTGCCTGAAAATTGGGTTGCTACACCCACAGAGTCCCACTTTGCAGGGTGACTACACATGGTTTCCGTGTGACTGGGTTTGGCGATGATGCTGCCTCTGCTAGCGGGGATGGCTCCGGCCAGGTACCGCATGGTAACAGATGTGGGTTACTACACCCACCTATTCCCACACTGCAGGGTGACTACACTCACATGGTCGCCATGCCTGAGCTTGGCAATGATGCTGCCGCGGCTGGCAGGGATGGCGCCAGCCATATAGAGCATGGAGCGAATCACCGGCACCTCAAAGAAGGTGCTGTTGGCTGCTCCGAACAGCTCGCCTGGGGGATATGAGAGGTGAGGGGGATGAAGGAGGTGAGGAAGGTGAGAATGAGAGGGATGGGGTGGAGCGAGGGCGCGAGGTGCAGCATGGAGCGGGTGACAGGCACCTCAAAGAAGGTGCTGTTGGCCGCCCCGAACAGCTCGCTTGGAAGGGACGTATGGGAATGTGAGGGAGTGTGGGAGAAGAGAACAATGAGGGAGGTGCGGATCCCATCCCATGCGCCCACACATGCCTTATCTGGAACAAATCTCTCTTTTTCTTTCTCTTTTTTCTTGTTTTGCACTGACCGTAAGTCAGCCAAGGTACCCCACGAGCAGGTCCTATGGGGGCACGACTACTTCTGTAATACCATGCCATGCATGTACCTGCAGACCTACATGGGGCCAAATACAACCATGTCATGTGCCCAGCAGACCTACATGGGGCCAAATACAACCATGTCATGTGCTCAGCAGACCTACCGTGCGGGCAGAATGTGTCTTTCCAGAGGTGGGCGGTTTGCGTGAGCATGCTGCTGCTGTAGAACATGCGCCCGTGGGGGTGCGCCGTGAACAGGTACCCGCCACGTGGCACCTGCTGAGCTGGCACGATGACACGCACGCGTGTCATGTAGTGCGCCATTGCCTTGTATAGGAACTGCAGGAGCGGGAGAGAGAAAGAAAAGAGGAGAGGGGAGAGGGGAAGGGGGAGATGGGGAGAGGGAAGAGAGGAGAGGGGCAGGCAGGGAAGCGCGGGGAGCACATATCGGGGGAGAAATATCGGGAGAGGGAAGGGGGGTGGGGAGGAGTGCGCAGACAGGAAAATTATTAGGCTGATTTTGACATCACACAGAGATGTTAGACTTGTGAATTTAGTGCTTATGACAAACATCGAAGCTGCTTACAGTGAGTTTCTTGCGCCAGGCGGAGTTGTAATAGAGGGGAATGAGGCGGAGGAAGAGCAGCAGCACCACCACCGCCACTGCGCCCTGCCAGCCGTACGCCCTGCCACGTCACACCAGAGATGAAACGCCGCATGCGCATGCGTACGCAGCAGATGACATGGTCAAATGAGCAGACATTTACACAAACGAACGTTGGAGCGAAGTTATTGTGGTGTACTGAGTCAGCACTTGCTGAGTTAGCAAGCGTTTATTGTTTGATAAGAGTTTGACTGATTAGATCAGAGTTATCTGGTTCTGGCAAAGCTGACTAGAACTGGAAACCTCAACCAGAGTTGACCTTATTGACTGCACATAACAAGATTGGACTTATAATCCAGCTTTTTTACCAGAGACATGTCAAATTGACCAGGGTTGACCTTGTTGACCCCGTTGACTCACCTGTACCCGTAGAAGCAGGCCAGCGTGGCGAGCGTGCAGGGGAGGGGCGTGTACGGCAGCATGTGATAAACGAACACGATGGCCGCGTGCCACGCGCTCATTCGTCCACGTGGCACCAGGTCGCGCATCTCCATCCCCTCGGCCGCCAGGCGACGTCGCACAGTCGCCTCGTCGTCGTCCGCTGTGTACGCGTCAAGATGCTTCTCCCGCGCGGTATAGTCACCATCGCTAGTCTCATTTTTCTCCCGCGCGATACGATAGTCGCCTTCAACGTGCCCCATCCCATGCGCGCAAGCCTCGTTGTGCGCGCGCCGACGAATGAACGACGCGGATGAAATGCTCTCCGCTATGACCTCCGCGGCACCGGCGGCGGCGGTGGCGGCGGTAGAGGCGGAGGGGGAGGTGACGGTGGGGGAGGAGAGGAGGGAGGAGGGGTCAAGGGGCGAGTCGGGAACTGCGCTCAGGAATTGTAGCCTGAACGCGCTGCGGCGAGAGATCCTCGTGTCTTTCTCCTTGTGTTCGCCTCCGCCGCCACTGCCGCTGCTGTTACTGAAGCAGACTGAAGCGGCTGCTGCCATTTCGGCCTCAACCACTCGTCGCGCTGATCGTTCGTCGCAAGACTTGCTCGTCGCTCTAGTCGCTCGCCGCACTACTCCGCTCGTCACACTAGTCGCTCGCACAACCTCTTGAAAGTCCCCGTATCTGGTGCACTACCTCTGGCTATCACCCAACCTGATATCACTGGACCTTTCGCGTGCCCAAGAAATAAGCGAACGCCGTCGAACGCATCTGGCCGCGGGATGGCTACTATTCTCGTCTTGAACGCACCCAACCTACTGTCTTCACACATCGCGCAGGGCAAAGAAACGAGTCCAATGCAGGAAGAGAGAGGGAGGGCAGTTCATCGCTTGCTCGTACCAGCAGCAGCAACGATTGGAGGCTCTGGCGGCGAAAGAAGCCCGCGCCGCTCCAAGGAAGCAAATCAACGCCGTGGATGCCTGCGACACCACTACCTGTGGCGAAAGGAGTCGTTCGAATTTCAACAGCGCAGACATTGTGCTGGCGCGTCACGTGATAGTGTGCGGTGTGGTTGCGCACATGCCTGGGCTGGATGTTGTGAGCTTGCATGGCGATGGTGCGAAACACGTCAGCACACGGCTGGCAGGTGCCGCTGGGAGCAATTTAGCGAAATGAAATCCGCTAGTCTTCGCGCAGCAGGGATACACGGACAATTGTTACGTTTTCCTCATGCACATACCGTATTAACAAAACTGACGATGTTTTGGTCCTGGTTCTTCTAGGGTTGTCAATGAGGGAGAACCATAATGAATTTCCATAACATGGAAAAAATCAGACAATGCAGTAATGCTATTCATTAACAGTACAATAAGACCTACTGAGCAACTGACACCTTCCGCTTCACCTTGCGCTTTGTCGTGCGAGCTGCACCTCCTGTCCCTTGCACCTTCTCCGCCCCCTCTGCACCCGCCTCTGCTCCACTCTCCGCCCCTCCTGCAGCCGCAGCCTTGGTCACTCTCCTAGCAGAGCTCTTTTTCTTGGGCTGTGCTTCGTCTGTTTTCTTGCCGAAGGGCAGTGATTGCAGGAACGAGTTTGTCTTGGAGCCGGCACCGGACGAGCGGGACGGGCGGCGGTATGCCTGCTGCTCTGCCTTGGCCTGTTGCTGCGCCTCGCCATCCATCCCCAACCACATTAGACGAGATGGCTCGCCCAATAGAACGTTGCCACACCTGCAGGTGATTACAATACACACCGCAAGAGAAAGATCCCGTGAGTCAAGTCAAAGCATGGCAACACCCAACAACCTACAGCCCCATGAACAGCCTCACAGCCCCATGAACAGCCTCACAGCCCCATGAACAGCCTCACAGCCCCATGAACAGCCTCACAGCCCTACATGTAGCCCCCAGCAGCCCTGTGTGTAGCCCCCCCACAGCCCTGCAAGTAATGCCAGTACGACATGCGACCTGAGAAGCCCACCCACCTGAGCGCGGTGGTGCCGAGAACGGCAACGACAAGTGTTTCAATTCAAGTGCTGCTGCAGCACACGGTCCGGTCCATACAGCAGCTGGTAACGCAGGTTGTGTGACAGCCAGCCCTGTTTCTAGCCCCCCACCCTGTGTGCAGCCCCACAACCCCATGCGCGTGCAACCCCCCAGCACCCGCACATGCTCAACCCCCCAACAGGCCCACCTGAGGGCAGTGGTGCCGAGAACAGCAATGGGGATGTGGTTGAAGTGCTGCTGCAGCATGCGGTCAAGCCCGTACAGCAGCTGGTAGCGCAGGTTGCCTGACAGCAAGCCCTGTGTCTACACCAACCCCCTCAACAGCCCTGCCTTGAGTGCATCCCCACAGGCCCAAATGCAGCCCCCTAACAGCCCCATGTGCGATCTGAGTGCGTCCTGCAAGGCTCACCTGAGGGCGGTGGTGCCGAGGACAGCAACGGGGATGTGGTTGAAGTGCTGCTGCAACACGCGGTCAAGCCCGTACAGCAGCTGGTAGCGCAGGTTGCCTGACAGCCCTGTGTGCGCCCCGTACGCCGCTGCACTCGTGCTGGCTGACGGCACCACCACTGACGGCCGGTACCCCTCCTTGCTGCACAGGGGAGAAAGGGGAAAGGGGGAGACGAAGGGAAAGGTGCAGAGGGAAATGGGGGAAATGCGAGAGGAGGCTATGAGGGTGTGTAAGTGGGAGGAGTTGAGGTTGAAAAGTGGAGTCCGAGTGGAGGGTGGCTCAGATGGTCGAGGAACTTCGAGGTCGCAGAAGCAATGGGACAAACGGGACTGCAGGACCAGCAGGCAGCAACTGAGGATTGCGCACACAACGAGCAAGGAGAGGCAAGCACGGACCATGCTTACCCCTTAGAGACGGCTGAGTAAATAGCGTTGGAGGCAAGTCCCCCCAGAGCCCCGACCGTGGATCCCACGAGGCTGAGCTTCGCAGCATTAAAGAAGAAGCTGCCGGCGCGGGCGGGCAGGTTGAACTCGCGCAGCGGGTAGCTCTTGTCGAACATGTGGTTGGGCAGCTTCTGTAGCGCCATCTGCCACTCCGACGTGGCCGTGGAGCCGTAGGAGCGCGTGGGGGACAGCGACCACACCACCGCCGCGTTGCAGAGAGAGAGCGTCAGCACGTTTGTCAACGCCAGACCCCACTCGTCCTTCAGTCTGGGCGAGGGGGAACGGGGAATGGGGGAGGCGAAAGGGGGCGGAAACGGGGGAACGTGATGAATGAACTAGCGCAGGGGGTAGCTCTTGTCGAACATGTGGTTGGGCAGCTTCTGCAGCGCCATCTGCCACTCTGACGTGGCCGTGCTGCCGTAGGAGCGCGTGGGGGACAGCGACCACACCGCCGCCGCGTTGCAGAGAGAGAGCGTCAGCACGTTCGTAAGGGCCAGCCCCCACTCGTCCTTCAGTCTGCGGAAGGGAGAATAGGGTGAAGGAGAAGAGGGGAGGGAGGGCGTCAGGGGGACGGTTGCAGGGGACTTCAATCCAGATTCTGATGGGAATCCGGGGGATGAGTGTGGCTGGAGAGAGCATGGGCTGGCCCCATTGTGGAAAGAAAAATCTGAATCTTGACAACGACCATCGAATTGACAAACGGAAGAGATTCTCAGAATGCATAAGACTAGACCTTTAGCTTGGCCTGAACAGATTCCTTCACTCGAAAACCCTGCAGATCCCTACTCTTTGGTCGAGTTCCGTGGTGCAAGGCGCTCACCTGTCGCCGCGTTGCTTGACCTCCCACCAGGCCGACGTGCCAACGGTGACCGCCTGCTCCAGCAGCAGCTTGTAGATGAACGCCGGATCCGCCATCATGCTGCCAGGGGGGGAGAGGGGGGGTGGAGGGAATGGGGGAGGACACGGGAGGGAGGACAGGGAATGGAATGGTAAGGACGGACGGACTCGATAGGAAAGATAGGCAGGACGGTCTGGTGCAGCAGCAGCTGGTGTATGCATGCCGGACCCCAACCACCCATCTATTTCCCGCAACCTCCCACTTCCGGTTCGCCCTGACCCACCCCTCTCTCTGCTTTCCAACAGAACCATTCCTTCTTTTCTTCCAGTCAGCATGGATCGCAAACGAAACCACTCACCGCGAACCAGAGGCGTGCTACGTCAACGGGGACGGAGCGGAAGCAGATCGGCGCAAGGATGTGGGGAATCTGACGGCATGAGATAGGATCAAGACCGGACACGGAACTCACCGGCCGACGAACGCGCGCGAGACCTCGGCGGGCGTGGCGCGGGAGACGATGCGCGCGATGGTGGGGCGCGCGTCGATCGACATGAATCGCGCCACCTGCGCCGAGCTCACCAGACCCTGATGGGGGCGGATGCGGGGGAAATAGAGACAAGCGGGGACTTTAGCGTCCAGAAACACGAACCACGGAATCTTGTGGTCATTGCAAGCAAATACAGAGGCACTAGATTGTAAACTGGATACGTGTCAAGAATGATTGGTGGAAAAGCAACGGGAGTGGCCGGGATGGGGGTGGAATCTGAAAAGCGGGGATATGAAACCATGATCCGGAGCGAATTCAGTACTTGATTTCACTTCTCAGCCAAACTCACCGCTCCCGATCCTTCCACTCGCAGCCCGCGCAAACCCCTTTCCCAAGTCCCCGCCCGCTTCAACACGCGTTCACCGCGGCCAGTTACTGTAAAGGGCGGCTGAATTTCTTACCATTTCAACCGCTCGTCTAATGCCGGAAGGAAGGTCCGCCATGGTTCGGAACCACTCCTGCAGCACTGCCTCCACCGACGCCCTGTCGAACACCTGCCGTGTGATACGGGTCACACACGCAGAGCAGGCATAGTGGGCAGGCAGGACAGAACAGACAGCCAAGGAAACAACGAAATGAGATGAGACATGGTTACACGTGGATACGGGCTAATAGCTTCGCCAAGGTTCGAAGCAACAGACGACCTGCCGAAGCCCGAACGACAAGCATAGCTCAGGCAAGCAGACAGAGGAGACAGAATTGGTAGGCTGCTTAGAGGTTGGGAACAACCGGGGGTAATGGCGGCAAAGCAATGTCAGCGGAGACACGCTGCTAACTAACCTCGGAGATGATCGCTCGACGGATGAAACCGTCGTCATCGCCGTCGTCGCCGTCGTCCTCGCCGAAGTAGTCGTCATCGTCGCCACCGTCGTCACCGCCGTCGCCTCCGCCGTGCGTTCCGCCCTTACCGACGTTACCGCCTCCACCGCCCAGGTCAATCTGATCGCGTACCACAGACACGCACAACACCACACACACAGACATCACAACACACGCAAGTCAGCTGGAAGTCACACAAACAGACTCGAAACCCTTGATAGGTACGAAAAGAGCGAGACACAGCTACGGAAAGAACAATTTACCAAATTCAGAAGTTCCAAGGTACACCTGAGGGGTGGACTTCGCGGCAAAGAACGATAGGTCAAGCTGCGGTTCCAGTCGATTGTCCAGCTGTCTTATGCGACTCAAAGCAGCCTACCAATTCCTGCAATCCCACGGTGTACCTGCGGGGTGGTCTTGGTGACCGAGAACGAAAGGTCGACCGGTGCTCTGAGTCAACTCAAAACGGCCTACCAATTCCTGCAACTCCAAGGCGTACCTGCGGGGTGGTCTTGGTGGCCGAGAAAGACAGGTCGAGCTTCGACTTCTCAAGCGTGGCTCCACCGCCGCCGAAAGCACCGTAGCCCTTCTTCATCATCGGTACCATCATCCGCCCAGACGGCACCGGCGGAAAGTCGTCCGAGGACCCCTGCTGCCCCTGATCCTGCTCGCCCGCCAACCCGGGCCCGCCCGCTACCACTCTAAGGCCCCGCTTCTCCGCGGGGAACGCGCTGGGGACGCATAGGGAGCCTGATGATGCGGAGGTGGCAGAGAGTTTGGCGTTCGGGAAGGAATCGCAGCCGGAGAGGAATTTGACGGAGGATAGTTGCGAGGGGACGCATGGCTCGTGGGAGAGCAGGCCGGTGGTGCGCTGGGCGATGGGCTTGCTCAGCGACGCGTGCGCGTGCGTGTGGAGGAGACCTACTGACGTTGTGGTGGCCATCGCGGGCTGATTCACCAAGCACCAGTTTTCCTAGCGTTAAGCTCGTAACGATATGCGAGAACAAGGAACTTGAACTGGCTGACTTATCGAACAGATACTAAGCCGAGTTCAGAGGTGGTTGAGGTGTGAGACACGTGAAGCTTGCTTGCCCTAACTGGACTTCAGCAGGTTGAAGCGAAGGGAAATGAGGAATGAGGAGAGGGGTGGTAAAAAGGAGAGCAGCTTTCTTGTTCTGCTTCAAACACACTTCACCCCTCAGCCTTCGGAGCTTCACTTCCAGAGGATAAGGAGCGTTTCTTTCGTTTTCTGTGCGGTGCAGTCGTGTTGGTTTCTTCTGTGCACGATAATTGGTAGGGATTCCTGAGAAAGAATGGACACGAACACGACAGCTTGTGGTGGATGGGTTCCCCTCGGTTTGGTAAAGGCAAGGGAAAAGGGAAAATGCTGGGACAGAAGAAGTTGTATTGTCGGGCAGAAGAGTAGATGTAGATTCTGTGAGGACACGATTGGCGGTGTGGGTTCAGGAGGTGGCCTATTTCAATTGATCTGCTAATTTTTCTAGGGCTTTCTATAAGCTACCCGAAGCAGCTTTCGGTGGAAAATATGTTGGGTTGCACCATCCACTTTCTGTGGTGTCGGCGACGCCTGCCCCCACTTCTGGGATTGCCGCACTGGCTTGCACAGGCAAAAAGGTGCCACGTTGGAACAGCGTGCAGACGTGGAGATTGCAGGATGAACCTTCGTTATTGACGGTTGTGTTGTAGAAACTATAAAAATGTGGATCAGCGTTGTAACAGACGTCGTATCAGCTTAAAATATTAAACCTCTGGGAAAACACATGTACAGTTTTCATAACTCTGAATGGTTACGGAAAATTATGGCAATAAATTATCTTATTCAAAACATGTTTTAAAATAATTTGACCATCAGCTTTGGTGCTGACAGAGCTGTTGGGGTGCCGCAAAAATGCCTTACGCGTCAATCAAATCCTGGAATCAGTCATTCTTGCACCAGCTTACCGTACCCTAAACACTTTGCCGTAAAATCAGTAAGTGTTAAAGGGTGCGCAATACCGATGCTCCCAATGGAAAGAGGACACTTGCAGCAACGGGCAACTTTTGGCAGTGTTGGGTTCATAAGTTTTTTTTTTTAACCAGGCTTGCCAGCGCGAAAGTGCTGGCTGGCGAAAACCAGGATTTCGTGCGGACACTTTCCATCCGCAGTAACAGCTCGCCAGGGTTCTGGGTTTTGGGTGGCAGATATGCAACGTCGCTTTAACACCAGGGAAGTATATCCCTGGAAAATAGCTCTCAGGGTGAATTCTCAGGAGATTTGCTAGCTCAGGGTGTACTCTCAACAGAAGACTAGCTGTACTTTCATCAGCCCAAGTAGGAGCAAAGTTTTCATCAGTGTAAGGAAATTCCCTTTTCCTTACTTCGCATCCCTGCTCAACGCGTACATCACTGTAGCACCTCAGTCAGCACCGTTACCACTCGCGATCATCGCACCGATAATCATCCCGCCATTTTCGCACATCGCATCCCGACCTCACGGCTCGGCTGGTAACCCGCGCTCCGGGCCTACGCTTCGACACTTTCCCAAACCTCAGTCCCAGGCTCGTCGCGCGACTACCACAGACCATTACCGTTACCACTGTAGTTTCGCTATATATTCTTCGCTCATGCCTTCGCTCATTAAACTCTTGCTTCGATAGTGCAATTCTCGTTCGTTCCCTCAATTGCACTCGTAACACTTGGTATTCAGAGCCTACGATCCCATCTCGGACCGCATCCACACCTTCGCTTCCCCACTATCTCAATTTTTCGGGGGGGGTAGACGTCTCTCAGCGATACAGCGCCGCCGCTCGTAGTGCTCTTACGCAAGCACGCACGGCCACGACCGAGGCTCTCGCTGAGCTTGCACGACACCCCCGCCATGGCCGATTTCACGCTCGCCACATTGACGCAAGAGCAACTCGATCGTCTCGTGCGTCAACTGGAGGACTCGGCGCTCGAAATCGCGACTCTCACGGCGAAACGTGACTCCGCCCGTCAACAGTCTACGATGAACGCACCAACAAATGCAGCTGCACATTCGGATGAGACGATCGTAATCTCGTCCGGCACACCAACACAACATGACAGCACGGGACAACGCTCAGGCGCAGCCAGTGAGGGCGCCGCCCAGCCGATGCCGGGCATGGGAGGAAACAGGATCGCACCAAGCCCACGGGAGCCTCGAGAAGCCCGTCGGCACGTGGAATTTGCGGCGACAAGTGGCGAACACTCCAACATGGCACCAATGCCGCTCAAGCCGCAACGCCCGCCCTGCTTCGACCCAAGTCAACGCGGCGGTCCGACAGTTCAATCGTGGGTCTTCACGATGAACGTTTTCTTCGACGCCAATTACCGTCACCCCCCGGATATACCCCCATGGGGGGCTATAATATAACATGTTTTTTTGAGGGGGTGGGCTTATAATATAGTAAATTTATAAGCGCCGGCGTTTATAATTTGTCAAAATTGAATTTTGTTTTTAAATATACCAAATCGAAGCATTCTCAAAGGCGGATTCACCTGGGTCGAGAACGTTCGAAACTGTGCATGCATTGCGCGTGAAACGGCCAACAAGGCGTGGCTTCACGCCTTCCACGCCTTGTTGGCCAGGCCAGGTTCATCAAACGTGAACCTGGCCCATGCCAGTGCACACGTACCTCGCATCAAAGCGGCCCAATCAGGGTTGCATGCGATCGTGGGCACGTCGTGGTTCAGCCACGGTGTGCCCATCAACAGCAAAATTCCCCGCCACCGAGGCAAGGAGCTGCCCAGCTCAGCTCCTCTGCGGGGAATCTTGACTGGGGCCACCCTTTTCCCGCAGAGGAGGCCGGGCCGCGAAAATGAAGGGGTCTCGGGCGAGGGCTTCATACAACCCTCATTCTCGACTTTTGCCTTCGGTTTCTTTGTTCGTTTGGCCTGCCGTGGCCATGGCGGGCCTTCCACGCACGCATTTCTTGTTCCGCCGCCATCCTGCTGCCAGAGAAAACACCCGCCGAGACACCTGTGACTACTCTCAATGGCAGTTGCGCCCTGCGCCCGTCCCTCCGTGTCAACCAGTAGCTTCTCCCGTTCCTCCCACTCCTCCAACTCCTCCTGCACCTCCCGCTCCCCCGGCGCCTCCGGTTCCTCCAGCTCCTCCGTCCCCTCCTGACCCGCCTGTGTTTGGTGCTCCACGTCAGGGGGTCCTGCAGCTTCTCCTCCCTCCTGGCTACTCGGCGTTTGACGCGTACCTGTCCGAGCCCGACCGCGCCGGTGGCGCATCGTCTTCCTCCGCACCGTCGCCACGCTGGGGAGCCCCGGCTGATTGCCCGTTGGACGAATCCGCGGCTGGTGCGGAGGATGACGTGGAGTTTTGGGCTGCCGACGGTCTTCCAGAGCACCTGCCTATTCCCACCTTCCCCCCCCCCAATAAGAAACGGCCCCACCCTTCTCGCGAGAATCGCGATGCCTGTCCTCCCTCCCCCAGGCACAAGCCTTCAAGTCACAAGCGGCACTCTTACACATCGCAGGAGAAACTGCAGTGGATTCTCAAGCTTGAGTCCGGGCACATGAGCGTGCGGCAGATGTCTCGCCAAACCGGCATCTCCCGAAGGTCACTCGCAGAATGGAAGACCCGGAAGGCTGACCTGGAGGGCGCGCATGCTGCTCGCAAGCGTCTTCATGGGCGCGGAAGGAGCTCGTGGTATCGCGACATGGAAGCTGAAGTCTACAGGAGGTTTCTTGCCCACCGTAAAAAATGTCTCGCGGTCTCGATCGCTCGCCTACAGAAGTGGTCGCATGAGGTGATGAAAGAATTGCACCCACAGGTAAAGTGGTCCGGCTCGCAGCGGTGGACTGAGCGGTTTCGCCGCCGTTGGAATCTGACAACCCGAGCGAAGACCAGGGTCGGCCAGAAGCTTGCTGCCAGTGAGTTTGTGGGAAATGGTTGCAGTTTAATGTGTACTGCTTTGTGTTGTTTGTCTCTTTATGTTTCACGGTTGAATTTTAACGCGTCATTAATACTGTCTTCTCTCTTTCCCTCCCACCCGTACTCCCAAACTGCGAGACTGGCGTCAGGAATTTCTGGAAGTTCGTGCGTCACACCCGCCGCCAATACAAGATTGACCCGCAGTGGATAATAAACGCGGACCAGACACCACTGTGGCTCGAGATGCCTGCCGAACGCACAGTCGAGGAGGTGGGTCTGCGCTCTGTGCCTATCCGCAGCGGCGGCTATCAGAAGGAGCGAGTTACGGTGATGCTCGCCTGCACTGCCAGCGGTGAGAAGCTGAAGCCGTGGGTCTTCTTCAAACGGAAGACCCTGCCTAAAGGGGATTTCCCTTTAGGTGAGCATTAACACCCACTGCTGCATGTTTTTTTTTTTCAATGTCTACTGATGTTGTATGTGCGTTTGTGGCTGTGCAGATGTTACGGTGTCCGTCCATCCCAACGGTTGGATGGACGCGGACGGAGTCATTGAGTGGCTCGACGGGGCAGTGAAGCCGTTCGTCCACACCAAGTTTGGAGTGAGGCCCCGCAAAGCGATGCTCGTCTTGGATTCGTACCGCGGGCACCTGACTGCGGAGGTGAAGAAGAAGTTCGGGGAGCTGAACATCGTCCCTGCCGTTATCCCAGCTGGCTGCACCTCGGAGATTCAACCTCTGGACGTCGCGGTGAATCGCTCCTTCAAGGCATCCGTTCGACAGCTCTACCAGGAGTGGTTCGAGAGCGAGGGGGTCGACACCTTGACAAAGAAAGGTGAGAGAGGCAGGCCATGCCTGTGCTGCTTTATCAGTTTGTAGCGGTGGCTGACTTTTGATTGTTTAAATTTTATGGCAGGCAACATCAAGAAGCCACCACCCGAGCTAACGCTCAAGTGGATATCAGCGGCTTGGAAGGCCGTGCCCAGGGACTTGATTCAACAGGCTTTCCTCACCTGTGGCATTAGTAACGCCCTGGATGGGT